TTCTTTCTTTCTTTCTTTCTTTCTTTCTTTCTTTCTTTCTTTCTTTCTTTCTTTCTTTCTTTCTTTCTTTCTCTCTTTCTTTCTCTCTCTCTCTCTCTCTCTCTCTCTCTCTTTCTATCTATCTACCTACCTATCTACCTATCTATTTATAAATGTTTGCTGCCTGCTACATTTTCCTCCTACTGCAACATACTACACATTTGTTATATACACATACAATAATACTATATGCCTTCTACTCGATTAGCGGTGATGCTCTTCCATCTTTAATTCTGATAGAAAGTACTGTATTTGAACCTCTAATGGCAGCAGATACCCGCTGAATCTTTGTATGGGATATCCTTATTATCACTCTTGTTCAATAAACTACCTTAACCTCAAAAATGTAATATCAACATACAAAATGTGTGCTGTGCTATATGGATTTCTCTATTAAAAAATGAGTCACATAGTCATGATAATTCCAAAGAAAAAAGTTTAGCTTTTTAATTTCCTTTCCTTAGTGTCTTTAAAACACATCTTATAAGCACACGGTACTCCTTTTACCCACCTCAGTCTAAGCTATTTATCTCCTGGGACAAAAGACAATTTAACCTGTTTTTCTGTCTATGGTCACTTTATGTTTCTAATGAATTCCCCCCACCCCTCATGTCTTCAGGTGGTGCTCTGTATCATAAGTGAAAGAAAATCCCTGCTAATGCATCTTGCTAATGTAGGATAATGCACGTACAAAAGTACAGAACAGGATTTTTAAATTACATAGTAGAATTTCCTGCTATCATATTAGATAATTTTAAAGAAGGCCTAAACAGGTGCATTGAAGATAGGGCTCCTAGAGCTTATTAGTCCTGATGGCTGTTTGTTAGTTTCATATCACAGGTAACATACCAAGTATATCAGCTATGGAGTAACCATGGAGGAAATCTATTCCCTCTCTATCGATAAATATGGCCTTTGTGAAGGGATATGGTTGATCACTTTGTGTAAACAGAATGCTAGGTTGGATGACTGTTAGCCTGATCTATCAGGGACATTCTTAATATTTATTATCAGCTGTCTCATCATTACTGTACCACAAATATTTCAGCAGCAAGAATAAGCCTGGATTCCGTAAATCTTAAAAGTGACTACACAGCACAAGATCCCCTGTATGTGTGAGATAGCACCAACAACCCACTTGTCAATGGGACAAAATGATTGTTTACCAAAGGGAGATCTGGAGGAACCCACGTCACCAGAAATATACTAGATATGTATGGGTTTTTTTAAAAAATAATTAGTATCCTAGTAAATAATATTTGCTCTCTGGTGTTTGATTCCACCTGGGACACAAAACTACTCAACCAATGGTGGTATGCTACTGGTTCGGCCCGGTTTTGCCGAGCCAGTAGCAGCAATGAGCAGTGGAGACCGAACCGGTTCTCTCCACTGCTCTGTTGTTGGGCCCGCCCATCCGCCTTGGCCGCCATATTCACCTTTATCTTCTGCTTTTGAAGCGCAGCTGCTTTGAACAGCACAGGAGAGTGCTGCGTGGCAGCTGCTGAATCAACCTGGAGAGTGCAGGCTTGCAGTAGGTGAGTTAGAACGCCTTTGCGGCTGCGCAAACACCTCTGCGGCTGCACAAAGTGCGTGTTTGGTGTGCACGCGCGCAAAGCATGCCCACCAAGCCACACCCACTGAACCGGTGGTAAAAGTTTTTGAATCCCACCACTGTACTCAACCACCAAAAATCAATTTAAATTACATTGAAGCATTTTTGCTGGTACAGCTTACACAGAAGATTATAGTCTTTGTTAAGTTTTCACATGTAGACCTGGCATGGATAGGATACGGTTGAAGACTGCTTTGGAATGAATTCAAATCCTCAAAGCAAAATAAAAACATTCTTACAGTTTTGATACAATTTTTGTGCTGCTCAACCCAAATAAATAATATTTTGCGAAATGAACTCGACTTTACAGCAAAGTAGAGTTCATTTAAAAGTCCCTGTTACAGTTTTTTTTTGTGAAAGCATATACATTATATAAGAAGGGCATGTGCTTCAAATATATTTCAAAGATAATTCTCCATTGCCTAAAAATAAATAAATAAAACAAACCAGACATTCCCCATAAAGAAAGAAATCCATTAAGTTGGAAGATAGGAAGGAACCACAGAAACTTAAACTTCTAGATTAAATATTACTTGATGTAGTCAAATAGTCAACAAAGCTAAATAAATAAAAAGGTACTTACTGGGTATTTTTCTAGTGGTTCCATCAGCAAACCATCTCCAAATATTAACCGGCAATATTCTGCCATTTTTGCCTGCTGTTTAGGGCTAATAGCGGAAGAAATTGTAAAATTAAATAAGGCTTTTTTATAATGTCAGAAATACACTCTAACAAGATGAAGAGGTATAATTTTCCAAACCTATCGTCTTAAATTGTACTCGGTGATCTAAAGTCATTATACTATTAATTTGACTTCAACAACAGCTTTCTTGCCACATTTTTACATTAATCAGCACAATAAAAGTTCTCATTTGTAGTTTGTCATTAATAGTAATAAAAGGAAAACAATGAACCTGCCTACATACACACAAGAAACAACATGCTTAAGAAAATACAGAAAATTATTTTCACATCTACGTACTCTTAAAAATATTTATATTGATCTACAATAGAAGAGAATATTGAACTGTTGAGTTCTTTGGGCTCTCTAAGCTTGGTTGTTTGCTTGTAAACATTTCATTACCCAGCTAAACAACATCATCAGTGCAAGCAAGTATGCTTTCTATGCTTTTTCCCTTAACCCCACACTCATTTACACATTAAGATCCATTTCCTTTTGCCGTAGAAGTGAGCCATGTCTGTCCTTCCTTCCTTCCTTCCTCCCTCCCTCAAATTCCTGTCAATTTATTTTCCTTGTACAAAGCTTGCAGGGAGAAAGTTAAGTAGTGGCTGCTAGATGGGGCAGTGGGGAGAACAAGTGTAGGTGTGTGTGTGAGGGGGATCAGGAGTATCGCTTGGGTTGGGAAGGCTGTGTACGTGTGCACCAAGAATACCACATGAGCAGAGAGAGCACAAGGGGTAGGTGATATAGGTTGAGAAGGCTTCCCTTTCCCTTTCCCTTTCTTTCCTTTCTCTTCCCTTCTCAGCAGGCAGGGAAATGGCTGCTGCTGCACTGTGAAGGAAGTGAGGGATTGTGAAAATGGCGGGGAAATTGTCACAGAGCTTTAAAAATAAAGATCATGTGGCTGCAGCGGCTGTGCAGACTGCAGTGACTGATGTTGCTGTGCAACAATAACCAACAGCACTAAAGCAGGCACGGTTTTATCAAAATTCATCCCCTCGGACGTATTTTGGACATATTCTGTAAATTATCTCATATGAGGTACTGTGGTTTGAAACTTGTTGCCCTATTATGCACCATTTTACCCAATGAAGGGTCATAGTTTTAGTAATATATAGATTATAGATTCCCCACAAGCTCTGGAAAAAAATAGTAACTTAGTTTGACTGGGGTATACCGCAAGTTCTCCCTTCGCATGTAAATAAATGCCTGAGATGACAAAAAACGTTCATGCAAAAGAGCTATATTACAATTTAATACTTTTTTTAACCTGTAGCAAAAATCTACAACACTCAAATGTTACTGATGCATCTTATCTACTGCAACCTGCTTGGAAACAACATCGTATTCAACTGCCAACACTGGAAAACCAGATTCTTCCTCCTCCCTTTGGCAAAATGGATTCCCCCATCCCCAATATATTAAGTCATTTACTACCAAACTTTAAATGCCGCTCAGTTCCAAAATGATTCTAAGTATCTTACAAATAGTACAAGGTAGAAAGAATTAAATTGGGGGGCAGGTATGTGTTTGAAAGCCCATGCTAAATACCAACAACTGACATTCAGGGAAACTGTGCTAGCAGCAACCGATTGCAGAGAGGGATTCACCAAAGACTTTTTTAATCCAGGGGAGAAAATGTAAGAAACTTCTGCTCCATAAGTAGAAATCATCCATATAGGAAACTGGACATAACTGACTAAAAACATTATTTATACGAAAATCTAAATTACTTACGAATCCACATGATTCTCAAAAGAGAGGAGTATAGGGAAAGGAGATGTCTTAAATGCACATTCAGCAATAGCTTCTATGACTTCCTAGAAAGGAAAAAACAAAGAACACGTTTTCCCTTGAGAAAAAGAAATTATTTAACACACAAACATAAAGCGGTCTTGACAGTTCCTCTGACCCACACACTCAGGATTGTATAATTCTTAAAAGAACAAGGCATTAAGTTTGTCTCAGTGTGACTAGCCTTCTAATCTTCAAGCCCAGTAAAATGCTATTGGCATGTGGGAGAATAAACAGCAGTTTGTATTTAGAAATGTGTGTTCACAGGGCTCACAACGGTATTCCTAAAGCTCCACTTTTAGACATTTTGTGTAATAAAATAGTTATGTATTGCCAGGTAACCTTTATTGTATTTGAAAAGAAGACTTCTTTTCAGTACCAATAAATTGCCACTCTTTAGTTATGCCTGAGTTTAATAAATCCTTGAGTATCTGACAGAACAAAAGAAAAGGAATGCGTGTTGAACTGCAATTTGTATGCTGTACAAACCCAGGCACAGTGGTGAAATGCTATCGGCCGAACCAGTAGTAAAAAAAGCTCCAATGATCAGCTGAGAGGAAAAAGAAGAGAAAAGCACAGGATCGGCCCTCCCTTTCTTTATCCTCTCTGCTGATTGGTGCGGCAGAGCCACAGCTGGTATTTGGAAAGCTGTGCACGCACACAATCACCAAACTGGTAGGGAAACTGGTAGAATCCCACCACTGCCAGACACTGTAGTTGGTAGAATATATATGAATCTACTTCGTGGTACATTCAGTGTGCCAGGACAACAACAAAATCTGGTATAGCACAAGGGGGAACCCCCAGTAGCTGATCCAGAAGAAAGCCAAGAAACTCCTGATTAGTATATGCTTATCCCAACCTGAAGCCATTCTTATCCCTGCAGCCAGAAACATGCTTGCAAAATTTGTAGGTTGGGATGGGCCATGTTAGTGACTTAACCTCACACAGTGATTTTACTTAACATGTTGCCTGATGCTTAAAGACGTGTGTGTGTGTGTGTGTGTGTGTGTGTGAAGGCTTTTCAATTATTAAGAATACTCCCTGTCCTGTTCCCCCCAATGGATTTACTTCCTCAGGGAACAAATACTGGTAGAATGTGTGAAAAACCAGCAGGATTTAGCTGAAATGGAGACCGCTTCTGTACTAGCTGATTTAGGTTAAGGGTTGCTTTGTCTCTTTACAAATTTACTTGCCTGTAGGTTTTTTTTTTAATGCTTAAAACTATTCGTATAAAAAAACTGCATTCTCCTTCCCAAGGAGTGTCTTAAACTTTGATATAGGACTATGGACAGTCTGTGCAGCATGATATAGAGTTATTGGACTATTGATATATTCATTGAAGCACTGAAGTATACATTTTCTTATATAGTGAGAATTATGACGAAAAATTATATAGCTCAGCAAAGATATGAAGATTTACACATTTGCCATGTTTACCTTACCATGCTTTTAAAATTAGTTACAAATTGCCTTGGCTGAAAGGCGCCATAGAAATCTAAACCTTTAGTAGTAAAAATATGTATGAATATGTATGTGTGAAAATATAATAATTATACAGGATAGGAAAACAATCATAATGCTATTTTTGCACAAAAAAATACTTCCAGAAACTTGCTTTATTAAACTTATTCAGATAATTACTTATCCACTAATTGCCTAAGAGGAGAGAACAGAGAAGGTTTTTAATTTACTCGGCCTAGAGAAAATTTTAAGAAAAAAAAAGGGGGTGTATGCACATATGTACAGTATATACATTCTATAAGTGGAAATTCTGTTCCTCCAGACAACAGACACCAAAACAACACAATACAACACAAAAATAAAAAGTTTGGTTTTCACTTCTCATCCAGTATTGTTGACTGAAGTACTTTTAATTGGTACCAATTCAGTAAAACAAATGCACTAAAGTTTAAACTAAAATACTTTTATTATAATTTTGTCGTGCAAAATGTACATACGGTGTATCAATATAAGAAAAAAAAAATCAACAGTATGTAAATTTTGGAGGAGATTCTTTTAATATAACTAACCATCAGATAAGGAAGGGAAAATCATATGTAAAAGGCTTGTACTAATTGTGAGGCTTCCTCACATGAACCTTCCTGGAAAAGCTAAAGTACACAATATTCACCTTTTTACTGACAAGTGAATTTGACAATATTAAACAAACTAATCTAGATCAAGCACAACTCTGTTTTACAAAGAAATGGTCGGGGGTAAGATGTCTATTATCAAGTTCTACAGTTATGAAATCAAGAAAGGATTAAAAAAATTAAATTACATAACTTAAGCTTTACACTAGGTTTGTGCCTCTGCACATGTCAAATCTACCTGTCAGAAAAAAATGACAGTTAAAACAAGCTATTATATGGGACACCAAGAAGAGTGCTGATTAATGGTTCTGACCTCATGTATAGGTATCTCAAAATTGTTTCCCCTGCCTATTAACAGATTACTTCTTTTTTACTTTGCTTCTTACTAAATCAGGAAATGTCAAATTGAATAGCAAAGTGGCAGCATTATTTTGAAAGAGACATTCATGCATGTGGTATTAAAGGCACAATAAGTGTAAGTCAAAATATCCTGACATTCTTCATTCTTTCCAGTGAAAAAAGTAAAAAATAATTTTTTTTTAGAGAGGAACAAAATCTCCAATTCATGTGTGGGATGTGCACGACTCTCTAATGCTAGCATTTTCAGAAGCATTCTGAGATTAAAATATACGTTTAAAAATGGCCAATTACTAAATTAAAACACCCTCTCTCTTTCTCTCTCTTGATTATACAATGCTGCCAACAAAGAAGCCTACATAATGATCACATCCAAGGAATGCTTGGTTTCTAGATGCCACTTTCTGGCTTCTGTTTCATTTCTGTGCACGCATGGCAAGTCAAAGCGAGATTTCTGTTGAAAGAAACCTGCTGGGTAAAACAAGGAATCTGTCCAAACTTCAACAGGGAGAATTGCTCTGCTGTGCATCACTGTTTTCACTGTCTGCTCAAAGATGAGGTGGTCCACAAACTGGAGCAACAGTGCAATGCAGTGTAATATACGTGGCAGAAAATATCCTTCCCATCAAGTTTTACTTTTTTTAAAAAAATTACCTGCATATTCTACAAACCTTTGGCAAGATAGCACAGAATAACAAACAAAATCAACCACAATTAATTTAACAATAATCCAAGCAATACAATTCATACAAATGAATTTAGCAATAATGGGGAACAAATCAGAAGCTACACCAGTTTCAGATGGTAACTTTGTGTTCTGAATCTGGGCATGCAGTAATTGTGGTCTCTTTCTATTCACCACTCACTTGATCTTAAAAAAATGAAGTGCAGGCTTCTGTTATTCTCTGTAGTATAGTTATCCACAGTCTGTTTTGGCAGTCAGAAATGCAAATCCATTAATAGCAGACAGCCATCATAAGCAATATATGCAATTGATGAGACGATAATATAAAAGTTAGGAGCAAAACATTGCTTCTTCAGATGTTGAAATATGGTTACGGTAATCAACGTGGGACTTGATTTAAAATTGAATTATTTAAACAAGTAATGTCAATTATGTCCCGATTGAGGCTGCCTCATATTTAAATGTTTGTGTACTCTGTGCATCCGGGTTTTCTCTCATGTGTGTAAGTTGATGACTGGCTCAGACGATGCATGTATTATAATGGTGGACAAATCAATTCCTTCAGATCACCAGCAATGCTGTTTGTAATTTTCTGTCAAGAATGCTGATTAATTGTTCCAGAAATGTGTGCACAAGTGAATTTTTAAAGCCTATCACTCACACGGGATTCATATCCAATAATACACCACAGGGCTTGGAAGCACTATTCTTTTATATAATAAGGACTGTCTTTCCTGCTGCTCTTAAAGGTAATTTTCTCCCTGAGAAAAATGGATATGCTTTATGTGATCCAGGTCTATAATAGGAAGCTTCAATATAGTTTACATGACTCATCTGCATAATTTAGGTATATAGGCTGATGCTACATAACCTCAGCCTCACCAGTAATATCTGATGTAAATCATGGTTATCCAGTGTCATACCTCACAACTCTATTGGGACTTCCTGCTTAACAAAGGTAATTGGGACCTGAATTTCCATCGCTAAGTGATGTGGTTGTAAAGCATATTGTTGTGGAACTGCATTGTGATACGGTAGCAATCTCTGCAATTCCCACAGCTGTCGTTATGTGAAATTCCCAGGTCATTAAAGAAGAACTTCATATGGCTACCAGTTGTGACTTCCTTCTGGCTTTTCACAAGCAAAGTCAATGGGAAAATTGCCTAGAATATGCAAGCTGGCTGGATGTTGGGTGTGTACTATAGAGTGAGCCAGAGTTTGTATGTGAGTGTGCGTTGGCAGGGAAAGGTTTCTGTGACACTGTGTGAGTGCATGAGGGCTGAGGACAGGGTATTAAGGCATCACCTGAGCACCTGTAGGTTAGGGAAAAGTTGCTGCAGTATCACTAATGTGTGCAGGCTACAGAGAGAATGCTATGGGAGAATAAGTGGTGGGAACAGCCTTCCCTGTAGGCTTTCCTGCAGACTTTGCTTGTGGGAAACCAGAAAGGAAAGGTCACAAATATTAATCACATGATTGCAGGATAATGCAACCATCAAAGTGTGAGCTGGTTACCAACTGCTCAATTCACAATCGTGTGACTGCAGAGATGGTGTGATGGCCAGAATTTGAGGACTGGTCATAAGTACCACTCAGGTAGCATCATTAAAACTTTGAATGGTCACTTGAGCAAGTGGTCGTTAACTCTATTGACTGCTGCTTTCAATTTAAAGGTTGCAAGAAAAAAAACTAATTATTTTGCTTTTAAAATTATTATATTTGTGTCATGTCAAAGAGTACATTTGCAATAATAAAATGCAAACTTCTAAGACCCAGGACTTTTTGAAATGTTTCATTATTTTAAAAACTGTTTCTTTCTCTATTACTGATATATATACATACTACAACTTTGTTGGTTGTATGTTTACAATTTATATTGTTTTATTTA